TTTCTCACCTGGAGAATTCAGTCAATTTTCTGAAAAAAAGTCAGAGAAACCCCAAATGAAATTTACATTTATCCAAATTTCCTATAATTCCCAGCCCAATGCTAATTGAAGTCACGAGGTTGAAATTTCTTCTATTCTTCAAGTCAACTGTGAATCTTTCTGAGAACATTTACAAAGACACAATCACTTATCCAAGGAAGCATTTTCATGAAATTTGGCTTTGAGAGATGGTTTTGAAAATGTCCTTTAACAAATTGATGTATCCTCATCAGAAGAATAAAAAATTGTCACTTAATGTCACAATTTCAACTGCCATTGAAGTAACAACTAAAAAGTATGCCAAAATTTCTCAAAAGCATTTCAAGAAAGCTTTGGTTAAAAGTTGTCTTTTCTAACTTTCTGTTGTACAGTAATCATTTAGTGCACCAATTTCCTTCCATTCTACCTCAGTGATAGAGGTTATAGAGAAAATAAGAATTTGTTTGAGGAATGCAATTTGAACAAACGCTCCAGATTTTTCATGACAACACAAATTCAACAGAAATGTGAAATCAAAGTCAGCATCCTGGCATGAGAAAAAATTCCCTGCTTTCCACTTGGCTAAAATAGAGAGACAATTATTTTTAAAATCTTGAAACCCTTTTCCCTTCATTTGTCCTTTGAAGAGTTGCAAGCCTTCCTTGCACCAACTTTCAGTGGCAAATGCTGAACACATTAGGGGAGAGATTCATAAGAGCTAATCAATGCAATATAAATCATGAAAACTGAAACAATTACGGAAAAACATCTCAAAGCCAAAGTTGAAAAGGGCAAGAAAATATTTTTCATGGTTGTCTATTATGCCATCTTATACTAACCTTTCTGAATAAATTTTCAGCAAATGATAATGCACTAAATTGTCTTGCCAGTGTTCATCAGCAAGCTTCATTCTTACAGCAGAGGCAATAATGACAGAAAGACAAATGGTCCTGCATTTTTTATTTACAAAACTTTGCAAGTTCAGGTTTTTGCAAAATTCTAGTTTTTGAAAGATTCTAGCATGAATATTGATATTTTTATCTGCTCACCTGTGATTCCAATAGAAATGCATGATGAGTGACCAATCTTCCTTGTTTTCTGCCCATTCATCAGCTTTGGCATAACATTTTTTGTGGCACTAATTGAGTTGGCACTGAATCAGGGTTTCCCTTGACAGCACAATTAATTTTCTGTGGTTTGGGGATTTTTGGTTCATCTCATTTTTACTCTGGAATGTTGAAATACAAGATGTTATTGGGCAGGACCTCTATTCTTCACAATCACTTCTCATTTATTTGGTCCACCAATCCAGCACTTGAGTTTGGCTGAGGAATAATCGGATTCGCGGTAGATCTACAAGTATTACGAATTTGGAACAAAACATGTTGATGAAAGCATGGCACTTTTCATGGAATTTCCGTGAAACTGCCGCGGTCTACTTTTTTTCTTCAAATGTATAGTCCTATTATTATGTTTAGTCTTTGAGAGGATGTATAGTCTTGAGAGTTTCATTGCCTTTTGATATTTTGCGTTTCATATTTCGTTCATCATATTCCACGGATGCTGAAGATTCTCAAAATTTAATTCAGACGAGTTTCAAAAATATTCAGCGAATCCCCGTGAAAATTTTCAAGCGGAAATTTGGGGTTAGTCTCAAAGAAATTTTTATTTTTTCGCATCCCAAATGTTTGTTTCCTTTCTAAATAAAGTTCCGTACAGTACTCGTATTAAGGTTGTTATTGCCACCACTTTCAATACGAGTTGGCAATTTGACATTTACGGATGTTTTTAATGCTGTACATCTCAAATTCAAATTTACAAAGCATTTGGAAAATGAGATGATGACGATGAACACAGTATTTCTTGTTCAGATTGCATTTGATATGGTCGCTTTCAACATTGGATTGTCTAATTTCTCTCAAAACTGAATGTTTTCGAAATCGGATCATGTTCATTTTTTCTTAGGTGTGAATGGAGAAATCGCTGCAGATCATCCATTACTGCGCAACAAACGGTCGCCATCTTCGAAGGTGAAATGCCTCAACGACGGGAAATTCTACAGAGATCCTTCCAGGAATCGTGATGGAGTCTGGTCTCACACCGAGTGTGCCAAATATCACCTTTGCATAGGTAAATTCAATCATTCTGAATACGAGGAGAAGTTCAGTGATTCTCGGGCGAAAATGTGCGTCATTATAGACGGAAAGTTGAAATGAACGCCACGTCCCAAACTGAGCGTCATGGAAAACTGAGCCTGGGATATATATTATTTTTCAATGAAGTACTGCAGCTACTAGATTTCAAGCTCTTGGTAATTTTTAACGTATTATCTTGTACCACCCTCTAAATTTCTACACGCTTAAGAATTATTTATTAATTTGCAGTGTTTGCAAAACACATACCTTTTCTTGCTGGATGTTCTCCTGCGCTCATTTAGTTGAAGATCTTGATGCAACCCGAATTTATCACCAAAACTAGATTGAACAATGCCATTTGAATCGAGTAAATTGACAAATTCTTCATGAGGCAACGCATGAATCTCTATTTTGGTTGGACATCAATCAGCTGGCGCCACAATTTAATTTTAACGTTTATTCGTCAAGTTTATGTAAATTATGGCTTCTTCTCCCGTGATGATATTGAAGATAACTTTTCAACTGGTGTAAATTTTGAATTTTCACATCCCTGGAAATAATATTGCGTTTGTATTTTTGTGTCCTAATATATATGTATATTGCTCTGTGATTCAATCCTTGGTTCAAATATGTAATACTGGAATGGTCTACTCTATACTGTAGTAGGAGAGTAGCCGCAAATGATATTTCTCTGCAATAGATGGAACTCCTTGTTTTTAGTTGGCCTCTGCTTTATAAGAGGCCCAATTAATGACAGATACATTTTATGACAGCCTCCTGACTTGGAAATTTACCCCTCTTAATGACAGCAGACTTGGTATATATGAATGAATGAACAGAATACTTTATTTGCCGCTTTTCAGCGTTCACAAGGCACAACCAAGACTACTGCATGGTATGTGTTGGCTGGTCACTATCAGGCACATGACAAAAAACTGAATGAGTGCAGCCTCCAAGATGGCATTTTCCATGTCAAAGATTTAGGGAAATGAATTTTGAGGGTTTTTCTGAATTCAGTGAAGTATATACTGTATGCAGTAACTGTTTAATTTTTTTCTACCTTACCATTTAACTGCACTGTTACTGTGCAACTGTACAGTAACAGTATTCTGAAAGTTTTGATGTGGATGTCTTTATATTCTGGAGTACAGTGCACACAAATCTATGTTCTGTATTCTAGGCACTGTGTGCAATAATTACCTCAGTTTGTGAAGAGATGGAACCAAAGAAGGCAGCCAAAAAAGCCATTTCTCCATTTCTCAAAGGAAGTGTGAAGAAAATTCTTGAGAAATTCACAAAATTGTGAGGATCATTTGCATCACCCTTGTATATACAGGGGGAGGGGGCAAAAAAAAGGGAACCAGTTTTTTACTTGAAATAGCTTAGTATAGCAAATTGATATTTAGCAATGAAAAAAGCACCAGATAAAAGCTTGTTCCATTTTCTTTTAAATGGTATGTATTTGTATGGTGCCAAGCGCTCAGAATGGTCTCAAGTACCATTTTAATGAAAACTTTCAACAACAAAAATGTTGAATGACTTGTTCATCAAACTGCTGTTCTGAAGAGCTGTTTGCATGAATGAAGGAATTGCAGGATAGAGCAATTTTACCATGACAATTTATGCTGCCTTGGAGAGCCTGCACGTGTCCCCCAAATTCTGAAGGAGAAAGGAGTGAGAAGGTGAAGGAAATTGTTAAGATAGGATACTGTGGAGCTCTTGTACTGCACAGGTGCTGCTGGGTGCTGGCCTTGCAGCTCCCAGTGACCCACTGCATGCACATTTTTGTCTCTGGATGACTGAATTGTCCAAAATTAGTTTCACTTGAAACCAGTTGGATTAAAAATAATTTTCACTTCAAATCAGTTTCTGCAGCAATCCAGTAGTCATCCATGAAAAAAAATCAGCAATTGTTTCTGAGGAAAGCATCTCATGAAGACTTTAATGAACACTACTCCTCAAAAATTATTATTTTATGATCATTCAAAAAGTTTGTGCTCTCATGAATGTGCATGGAAATTTCCAAAAGATTTCTCATCATCTTTGATTTGAAAACATATAAAAATGGCTGTCACCAGAAAAAAAACCTCTCTTGGGTTTGGTATAATGTCTATCATGCAAATGTATCTGTGCTTTTGGAATAACTTTTGTGTTTAACATTTTATTTTCAGATGGAGAAGTTTTTGAATTCAAGTGTTCCACTGGACTCATGTTTGACCTGGAGAGGCAAATTTGTGATTTCAAGTCCAACGTACACAATTGCGATAAGGACTACGGTGAGACATTTCATTTATCTTGTTTAGAACATTTATTCGCAGTAAGCATAGGGGTAATATTTTTTGTACTCGCAGTAGGAAAAATATAGAGAAATAAAAAAAAACATGGTAATCCTCTTCCTGAATGAGAAAAGCATGTTTCGTCTTCCAGCCATTTGAAATAGTGAGTTACAAAATCAATGTGGATTCTTTTTAGAAGACACTTTCTGTGAAAATATGAGTATTTGAAAAAAAACATTCCTTTCATTTATAATTAAGCTAAAATTCCGGCCATTCGATAATTCGAGATGTTGATTGAAATTTTGCATCCCATTCCATGATTGCCTGCGACTAGAATGTTGAAATGTATTTGAGAAAAAGGAATAAATGCTCGAGATTTCCAGAGAACCCATTAAATGATAAACGCGTAAATTCGGACTTCAAACATGCGATTCAATGACTCGCTCTTTTCTTTTATTCAACTGAGGTACAAATACTTTGGTGAAGTCGTATCACGAAGAATAATAAATGTAGGAAATTGAAATTGATTGACGAAGCTTCGGTCACTTATATATACTTGAATCCTTTCATTATGAATTCATCAAAAGAGGCCACAACACCGCGTCCTTTGCTGAGCACTGAGGTGCCGATTTGCGCCCAGTATGATCATTTGGCCTGTGCTGATCGAACCTGTTTGCCCAAGGATCACTTCTGCGACGGGATCCCAGACTGTGAAGACAAATCCGACGAAGGCTGGTGTGGTGAGTTATTCGTCTTTCCATGAATTTCGATTAAATTGAAGCAGCGAAGGTCAATATCATCGCACAAGTACTGTATACATCAAGGCCCAAGGACCCAATAAAATTGCCTTTATACATCCCTGTTCAACAAGCCCAAAAATTTGACACAGTATATTCTACTCAAAAAGCTTTGTATATCCCAGATTAAAGGGCAAACATTATTTGTGAATTCAGCCCTTCCCCATAGTCAAGCTCCAAATGATCTGCAAAAAATTGGACTAGAAGTTTTTTCAGTTTGGAAACTAGCATTTTTTGCCAAAAAAAAGAAAAATGTCAGGAAGTTGAAATTGGTGATATTTTTTACCTTGAGGTGATCTATAAAAGAGTTTACACTTTGCTGAAATTGGAGATGAGGGTTCAGCATTTGTCCCATCTCTCTTCATTTTGCTGGGAGCTCCTGGGAGGCTTTTGTCATGCATGCATGCTGCTGATGGGAGCTGACCTTGTCCAGAATTATTCCTAAAAAAAATAGGAGGACAAAAAGTTTTAATTAGAAATGAAATACTCAATCAGCTGGGCTTTGGCTGGGGCAAAGCCCTAGTTTAAAAGCAATTAATATATTTTTCAGGTCAAACCACACATGTTCCATAGAAGTTTTCCAAGTATTAAAAACAGTCAGTGAAAAATCAAATTTCATGGGAAATACAATCCAGATTTCAGTAGAAAATTGTGAGGTTTGCTCAGCTTGAAACCAAGGATTCAAATGTGCAGAAAAATTGGTCAGAGATGACCAAGAAGAATATTTCAATGAAAGAATGAAAGGAAGATGTCACTGTGAAATTTAAGGGATTTCCTAAAACAGTCCTTGAAGGACAGCACATTGCTCAGTGAGAACTGTGGGGTGTCAATTGTCAACTCTGGTCCTACAAGATTCCTGAGAAGATCAGCTCACTTTGCTGATTCCTAAAACTCATATTTCTAGACACTCCTTTGTTTTATTTTTGACATGCCTTGAAGCTCCCACTCAGTGACCCACTGCATGCACTTTTTTCCTGCATGACTGGATTGCCAAAACTGATTTTAAGTGAACATGATTTTGAATCAAAATGATTAAGAGTGAAGTTAATTTTGGACAATCCAGTCAATCACCGTGAAACAAAAATTTGCATGCAGGGGGTCACTATGAGAACTGTAAGGCTAGCACCCAGCAGTACCTGTGCAGTACAGGAGCTCCACAGTATCCTATCTTAACAATTCCCTTCCCCTTCTTATACCCTCCTTCTGAAATTTTGAAACATGTGCAGGCTTTTTTGATACAGTATCAAGTTTCCAGGTTAAATTATTGCATCCTGTATTTCCTTCATTCATGCAAACAGCTCTCCAGAACAGCTGCCTATTAAATATACAGTAGTTTAAAAAGATGCCTGACAACCTTTGTTTTTTTTCAAGTTTTCATTGAAATGGCTCATGTGACAATCCTGTGGCACTTATTGGAACCATGAAACTGAATGGATTTGAAAGAAAATTGAGCAAGCCTGCCTTTGGTGCTATTTTCATTGCCACAGTTCAATTTGCTACTGAACTATTTCAGGGTAAAAATTGGTTCAATTTTTGTTGGCCTACCCTTTGTCTTTAAAATAATCCATACATGGAGAAACACCATGTAATCTAGTTAGGTTTGAGTTCTTCAGGTCCAATTTCGTAAAAATTAAAGTTGAATAATATTTGTGAATTGTCATTTGTTAAAATGATTTTTCAGATGCGAACCATGATCCGAATGCTGCTGCAAGCTGCAACATGCAGAACTGCAGCTTACCTGACTGTTTTTGCTCAAGGGACGGTACTTTGATTCCTGGAAATCTTCCTGTTTCCCAGGTGAGCAATGATTTCTTTCGAATCTCCCATAATGTCGTTTCAATGATCCTTATTGTTCCCCGCCTGATTCTATCTGCATGGTTTTTCTTTCGTTTTTTTTTTTAGCCATCAGATTATATATTACGCTCATGGCCGTTCCTTTTGTCTTATCCCCCTGCTTGAGTTTTGTTAAGGCAACTATATACAGTGGTTCCTCATGCGGGAAAACATCATTTGATGGAGGAACATGTTCATCATACTTTACAGGCATTAATGTAAAAGTGTTTGTATGTCTCAAATACTCATAATACTGTATACTGTATACAATGAGATCCGACGTGTACGACGCGAGCCATATAGCCCACAGGTTTTGTTTGATGCTCCACTCGCTGTACCTTATATTCCCATTATTCACGTCTTCTGGATGTATTCTTTCAGGTTCCGCAAATGGTAGTGATTACGTTTGACGACGCAGTCAACTCGGACAATTGGCCATTATACGAACGCCTGTTCAATGGCGAACGCAAGAACCCGAACGGGTGTCCGATCCACGCGTCCTTCTTCCTCAGCCACGAGTACACCAACTACGCGATGGTCCAGAAGCTTTGGAACGCGGGTCATGAGATCGGAGTGCATTCCATCACGTAATTCTTGAGTATTTCTTTCATTGGATGGGATTTATATACACAGTTTCTGTCGATATGGACAGTAATAGGTCAGCATTGTATTATTTTTAGTTGGTACGGTAGGTTTGATCAACCTCGGATCCCGGGATTTGATGCTCGGTAGTTGACTCTTTCCTTATCTTCTCCGATAATAAATTTTTCCGATTCATCAAGCGACACCTACCCGACGTTTTCAGAAATTATTGTCGGATTGAAGCTCGGTCACAAGCGTTTCTCCATCAATTTGTATTATGGTACAGTAGTTCCATACGAGTTCGAGTTGAGAGATTTCTTCGCTAGAATAGCGCGTGAAATGCTTCCGCGGCGTTTCGTAGACTGCATTTAGGTAAAAGTGTCGAAAAGTGTTTTAACATTATTCGCCGGAACAAAAGCTCTACTTTTTTCATTTCTTCTTTTCATTAAATACAGGCACCGGACACCTGAAAGGTGGTGGGGAGAAAATGCGACGATCGAGGATTGGTTCGACGAGATGGTCGGAATGGCGAACATCGTGAATCGTTTCGGAGGAATCGCCATGGAAGATCTTCGAGGTTCGATTTGCGATTGACGTAATTTGACAAACAAAAAATTATTAGAATACATTGGTACAGTACTGTACATATATGATATCCCTATAAAGAACGCTTCGCATAACGTATTTTTCGCGCGATGAACTCGAGTTATTACCCCATCTGAATTTTACTTTAAATGATTGAGTGTACGTGCTTTGAAAAATAATAATAACAAATATCGGAAAACGATAATACGGAAGTTGCTGCGAGAAATGGGTCATCTGCAATAATCGTCATCATTTTTAAACGGGAAAAGCATGTTTATGCATATAATCTCGATTGTGTTTTTTTGTTTTCGGGGGTATATGTTTTTTAGGCGTATGATTATCAAAAGCAGTGTATTCAAAAGTTTTGATCCAAGGAATTTTCCGGCATAGACCGAACTGATGGAGCAATAAAGAACCCGCACTGCCCATAGTTACAAATGAACTTGATTCAGAAGATGTTTGGGTCGATGCGGTACCTATTTAAATAGGGATCACAAGCTTTAGCTTATTTACGCGGTTAATCATTTTTTCGGATGCTGGCTCATCATCGATCCATAATAATAATAGTTCATCATCGAGACACCAACGTTCGTTTTAACGTCAAAATACTCCTACTACTCTTTTTTTCATCTGATTTACTCTTACTCTTTTTTTCATCTGAAGACTTTTTACCGTTGTTTTATTTCCTTTTTTTCATGTCAGGAATTCGAGTTCCATTTCTGAGAGTCGGTTGGAACCGACAATTCCTAATGATGCGGGAATTTGGGTTCGTTTATGACACCTCGATGACCGCACCTCCGTCCGATCCTCCATTGTGGCCATATACTCTGGATTACAGGTTTTGCTCAGTTCTTTCATGCACTTCAATGGAAACAGGAGAAAAAGAGCATCATCAATTTCTTCTATGCTTTCAGGGCACCGCATGATTGCTTGGGTCCTAGTCAAATGTGCCCGAGCCGAAGTTTTCCCGGGATCTGGGAAATGGTCATGAATCAACTGAAGGCTGGAGTGAGTTTGAAAACTACAGTACAGTAATGTACTCAATTTTTAAGATAACGACAAAGAATAATACTAAAAAAGCCATCCCCCGAGGGATTTTTTTCAACAACAAAAAATTGTGCAATACGTGTACTGTTTTTATTCAATGAACGCCCCCACTAATAGAATAGTAAAAAGCAACTGCTGGTTTAAACTACCCTGTTTGCATATACAGTAAGTGACACCCCCAGATGAGGACATAAATGCTGGTGCATCAAGAGTGTCCCTAAGTTGAGGCTTGTTTTCCCATTGACCAATATTATATAATTTTTAATTGGTGATTTATGGAAGAAGTATTCTTCAGAATTCCATGATAAAAAATTTGTTTGCCACTTGAATTTGTTTTATTGAATATCTTTTCAACCCAATAGGAACATTTGGAGCATTGTATAGTATACCATTGTATATAGTTCATTGAAATGTTGGCATCTGTAAAAATAATATCCTAGCCACAAAGAGAGAAGGAAGTCCCTCTGTGCTATAGGCAATTTTTTTGAATTAGCTGGATGGATGGGAAAGTGATGGGAAAAGTACCAAAGAATTATTTTGCATTGATCTTACAGTTGGAAATATCTGTTTCTTGCAATTCAGCCTAATAAAAGTTCTTTTCATAAAATGTATAGGCAATTTTATCATGAAATGTCCTCATGTAGAGTCAGTGTCCCTATTTTGGGCCATTTTTGTGATTTTTATTGAAAAATAAATGTCCCTATGTCAAATATCCCCATGTTAAGGTGTCCGCATGTTGCAGTCTCACTTTAATTTACAGTACTTCTATAAAGATATTTTGGTACTGTATTGGACATGATATTTTAATACCGTAGTTTCTTGGACCAGCACTGATTGTTGATTGCAGTTGTGAATCAATAAATATTATGAATTTCTTGTTTACTTACAAGTCCGAGTTTTTCAGAGGTAGCAGAAGGGGGAAAAGTTGAAATTGAATACCCTATTAGCTACAATAAAGATATGTACATCTTCCAAATTTTCAATACAACATTATGTCTGGTTTTTATTACTGTATTTGAACCAAACTTTTTGCTTCATATTTCCACAAATTTACTCATTGCTGTACACTGCTCAACCTTTCTAATTGAATTCTCCATCATGAGTTACTTAAAACCCTCCCTATATGACTGGAAATGTTTTGGCTCTGCTGACCTATTATCTTGGTCGGATGGTCCACTGCCATATTGTGCTTCTGAACCCTTGGTTACATTATATTGAGCACTTTAGCCATCCCAGAACAAATGCACATTTTTGTTACAACGCTTTTCACAAGACTTTTGGAGAGTTCCAGACAAAGGTACATAGGAAATCTAGGAGAATTAAAACCCTTTAATTAATTGGGTGTTAAATTAATGCACATTCATTAACCTTCACAAATCGGGCCATATTCTCTAAGGCGACTTTGTGAAATCTCATCAAATTTCATTTAGAGATGTTGCACTGTATTAGGTTATTGCTTCTGATTTTTCCAAACTGTGCAAGTATAAGAAATTCTTATATGCATCTTTGTATTGTGCATGCTTTATCATTGCTGATGAGGGGAAGAGACAGGATTGTTTCACAATATGACTATATAATGCTGTTTGTCAGAACAGCTTTGCTAAGTCTACACATGGTAATTCTTCTCTGTGCTTCTGCAAAACATAGGAATACAGTTGTGCCATGATGGACAGCTGCCCACCTGCATATTCAGTGGAAGAAGCCTATGAAATGCTGATGGAAAACTTCCAGAGACATTACACAAGCAATAGGGCACCATTTGGACTGTACTTTCACACCATTTGGTTCAAGAAGAAGCAGAATCTGAAAGCATTTGTGGTATGTCTTGATCATCCATTTTTTCAAGTCACTTGGTTTTGGAAATTCAAGATCATCTTGCATTTGTAGAAATTCTTAGATGAAATGACGGCAAGGACTGACGTGTATATTGTGAGCAATTGGGAAGTTATTCAATGGATGCAAGAGCCCACGCCCATAGGGTCATTGCAAACATTTCAGCCATGGCAAACCTGCAAAAAACAAGTGAGATTTGCTGTATTTGAATCAGATGAACGCAAGCATCATTATAATTTCATATACTTTGTTCATGAAAAGATTCCTCAAGAAGACATGGCTTGTAACATACCCAAGTCTTGCAAGTTGAAAAGCAGGGAACTGAGTGGAACAAGATACCTGCACACCTGTTATGAGTGCCCTGATACATATCCTTGGATCAAGAATGAATTTGGGTTGGACTTCTGAAATGTAAACATCATGGCACTTCTTATTTATTGGCTTTGTTGTTTTGAAATTGAAAATGTGATGATGAGAAGTATTGAATTTTCATTGTTGATGGAAAAGCTGCATGCAGCAGGCTTTATTCGTATTATTTATTGTATGGGGAAAAACGTTTTTGAGACAATGAAAGCTGCTGTGTAAACCAATAACCAATACATACAAATTGAATTCCTGCACATTTTAATTGAGCTACTGCACTTTTCTTTAAAGAATTGAAACTTTCTCCAGTGGACAAAGTTCATTTACTAGAACAGAACATAAACAGAATGCTTTATTTTATGCTTTTCAGCATTCACAAAGTTCAATCAACATTCCCATATCCCAACCCCCTCCCCACACAGCCCAACCCCAAATGCATTCAATCACTTTGGAATGGGAAACAGAGGAAAAATTGTACATGGATACCAAAATAAAAGAAAAATACATTCAACAATATACAACTGCATAACTGGAGTGTATACATATATATATATACCTATACATATACATATACCTTCTTTCCCAACATTGAAAACAAAATATTAGTGACAAGAAGTGCAACATAAGCCAGAATTATAGCAATTGTAGCAGTTACTGAATCTAATTTCTTCAACTTGTTCCCAGATGAGGTTTAGTTGAATGAATAATTTAGAGAGAATTTTTGTTGAGAAATCATATAAGGCCAACAGCTTACAGTATCTTTATCCTCTATGATTTCAGAAAAAGACTCTTCATTGAATTCCAATACTTGTAAATCTTTCTCAAGCTCATTTATAACAGTATGGAATGCGTGGTATACAAAGCAAAGGTGCTCTGGCAATGCCCCAACCAACGTATTTATGCTGCAGGGATTACACCATTCAGAATTTGATGAATTTCCTACTAAAGTGCCATGAATTTGTCTGAAGAGCTACAGTATCATGTAACAAAGGAATATTAGATGATGCAAATAGTAATGGTTTATTATTACCACAAGCAAGATCAGCAAGTAATTTACTTGAATCTATAACATGACAATTATCATGACAAAATAGTGTAATTAGAATATTTTCTCTACCTTTAATGATGTAGCACTTGAGAAACTGAACAAGATCATCCACTAAGAAATCATAGTATTTATCCAAATAACACAGCCCCTTCCAAAATAAGAGCACCTTGATTTTCAAGCAAAAAGTTTGTCAAAAGAGACATCTCCACAAAATACCTGCTCAGTTTTTATATTGGATTTCTTTGTACTTGGGATTTATAAACTCCAAGTTTTCAGGCGTACAGTGGCTTACATACATGCTAAGAATGCATCTTTAAGATCATCATACAATGTTTTTTCAAAGGTGTTTAGTGGGGATTTATATTTACAGTATGTGTGTACAGCACTTAGTTTTAAACTACTGTATTCAACATGCGATGGGTTATTATAAACTTTATAAAGCTCAAGACAAGGATTACTTGGCAAGGTACAATTTAAAAATTCACTTCACCCCATTATACCTGCCAGCATGGGCCACATTTGGGACTTTGGTGCTTTCCCCCCCCCCCCCCAAATACCATCAAAACATAAATTATATAAAAATATCTTGTGGCTTTGCAATGAAGTTATTGTTATCCTGGAAAAGGGAAATACTTTATGTATTCCTCTTTCCCACTGCCTCATTCATTTCACTCAGTCTTTCAAGTAATGTTACATGCACAACACCAGGAAAAATGCTGCAGTGTTGCTTATCATGAAAAGTGATGGGATGTAGGAATGAACCACTCCCATCATGTAAGCATCTCTGCCCCTATTAATATTCTTTCATGAGATGAAAAACTGTTTCCCGGCATGCATCCCATGACTGGGCACTTTTTCTTGCTCTGTGTGTGGCCTTCCCTTGATGCATTTAATTGGATGATTGAGTGTGCCTCTCTTCTGGAAATGTGTTGATATGTTGCAGGGTCTATTTAAATGAAAGGGTTCCATTAAACAGGCACAGAGTGTGTTCTAGACTAGAGAGGGAAGAGGATAGGCTCATCATATCTTTCGGACTCAGTAAAAGCTGTATCTCTAAACTGTCTGTGCTTGTTGTTTCTTGCCAGTATATGTAATAAAAGAAATTGTTACAATACTTGACTCACAGTTCTTCAGTAAAAATAAGGACAACATTATCTGCAATTCAAGAACTCATTTGCCACTTTTCATCCATTTTTCATTCCACAGGAGCATTTTTTCTGAAACAAAATCACAAATTCTGTTGGAAAGTTTAAGCATAATATTTGGAATGCAAGTGTACTTTATAATGCAGTTGAACTCACATTTTTTTCTCCTTTTATTAGCCAAGGTAGTTCTGAATGCTTTGTAATATTTTATTTCATTTTCTGATACTTTGATTCATCACAACAGATACATCAACATTGATCCCCATGAGGGTCATGGCAGGATGCATGTTGTCAGGGGCTAATGAGCCTCTCTGGCAAAGCTTGATTTCAGTAAATCATATAAAGTGGTAAACACAATTGGCCTTTGGGGGCCTGAGGTCAATACCTCAATCTTCTTTTTTATTTCAGTCAGGTCTTCCAATAGAATCCAATAAAATATGTGTGCACACAAATAAATCTTGGGAGCTCCTTCCTCAGTCAAGTTCCAACTGCAAGTGTGTGGTTGCTTCCTTGATTCTGCACAGCTCCAGGTCCTCATCAGTGGAAAGTTTTGGGCAAGTCCTTCCACTGATGCGTGAATAATCCTTTGTGGACATTTCCAGGTAGGATCCTTTTGAGTCCAGGGTTGATTCATTATTTGAGGAATGAGCTCTGGAGATCATTATCTCCAAGGTTGACTTGTTGTTGGTTTTCTTGAGAAACTTGTATTTATTTCACCACAGACATTTCTGTGTGATAAATCCTTTTTCTTTCAGGTTCAAATTTCTCCCAAAAAGAATGGGGACAACGGGGCGTTTTGTACGCCATATCGTCTGCTGTGCCTTTACTGTACCCGAGTTGCTTGGGGCGACATCTATAGTCACTCCAAGCTAAGTTCCGTGTTGGCAGGCGACATCTGTTCAACCCAGGACACATATTGAAAAAAAAATGATTTTCCTGAAAAAGTATTTTTGTCCTCACTCTCTATAGTTATTTACCATCTACAAGAATTAAACCAGACAAAGTCAGAAGCATGGCTCATATCCTTTTTTTGATACTATTCACAACTTTTCATTTGTTCATATTAAACAAGCACAGGTGTACAGCACAACACTTTGGATATAAACATAAAATACAATACAAAAAGTATAAGTGTTAAATGGGAATTCTCCAAATTCAGAATGTACTTCCCTTTAGGCTAACTCCAGGCTAAATCCACTAGTTCTTTTATACAGGCAGACTCTGATATTACACTGACCAAAGAATTCTTGCTGACCCAGGAAGAGGGTGAGCTTATATACAAATCTGCACCAATACATGAAAACATTATTGTTCAGGTTGTGACAGGCTTTGGTGCCAGGTGGATCCAATTATTCCAATCCTCAAAAGAAGGGGAAGTCACAATTATCCTTTCCAGGTGTAATCAGGAAGAGGAGAGATATTATCACTGGCAAATTCCTGGATTAGATTCATAACAGGAGGGGTTCAATGATAAAATAGATGGAAATTGGGTCAGAACCTGCTATTCCTGTTGAATGAATAGAATAAGGATAATTGAGTCTGGATTGCTCAATTTCAATAATCCTTGGAAACACCTGCCATGTGAGGTCAAACTAATTTGTTTCTCAGTTGACAGGATCATTTGCAACAGGGTTTTCCAACTCTGCAAAAATCCAGGATATTGAAAATGAATGGTAGAGGAAAATAGTTGAGCACTCTTGTTGATTTGAGTGAGTGCACAAAGTGTGCTCTTGTATGACTAACTTTATAAAAGGGATAACCATCCCTTTCTAGGATAACCATGTCAAAAAAGTTATTTATCTTGAATATAACTAACTGCTGGGTTGAGCATGCAAAAGTAATGGTGAAAACATGTGAAACACAAAAAATGGCTTTGAAATAAATTTTCAAAGTGTTTCCTCAATGTATAATAAAATAAACACCATTTATTCTGTGAAAACATTCTTGAATTTACCCTTACAGCTTTTGAACTTCATTGAATAGCAGGAAAATCTTAGCAAATTACTTGGTTTGTAGGCTGAATGATGATCATGGAGATTTTTTATTTCACAAAAAAAAACCTTCAGAATTGTTTGGATATTAAAAAACGCATGCATTTCATTCCTGGTGGCATTCCAGCATCACAAATGTATCAAAATAAATGTTTGCACATGCATTCAGTTTACAATAATACAGTTCAGTTGAAAGAATTCAATGTTTTCAATTATATGTAGTAGAAGACTTTTCTTATTTGGAAGATGAAGATGGTACCTGCTGTTAGCTCCATTTGGGGGTCAAGTTTGAATTTAAAAGATTATTTGACAAAATTTGGGATTTAAAATTTCAAAAAAGGTCCCTATAGCCTGTATACATTTAAATGAGGTGAAATGGAGCAAAAATGGGTGTTTAGGGTTACTCCTTGAGTGATAATTATCTGGATGCTCCATATTTTTGAAGTTTTAGGTTTGAGAAGAGAGTTTTTGTGCACTTTGTGAATGACTCATTGCACCCAAAGTACAGACATAATGCAGTATTATTTATGTTCTGATGCATGAATGTACTACAGCACTGTACTGTTGATCTGCTGCTTGAGGCTCCAGGCAGCTGACCAGCATCTGCTTGTTTGACAATGAACCCCTCTCTTGCAGACCAGAACTCTTAGCCAGCAAAACTCTTTGCCACTGCACCCCACATCCCAATCACTCTCTCCTCCAAGCACACCCGTGATAGACTTCCGCTGTAGGTTTCGAACTGGAATGAACGGTATCACAGGAAAACTTGTACACAGAAGAAAGGAGTCCACTTTTTGTTATTCAAGTGTGGAAACATTTTAACCTCTAGCTTATGCACTGATCATATTTGAAAGTGCAAACCTTCCTGAAGTGTGGGTTGAAAAATTTACATGAAGGTCAACTTGACTGGCTATGAGGACAATTTTATTTGAACAAGTGGATCCACATCATAGACGCAACTTGATGCAGGGCAAGATTAAGGCAGGCCTACTAATGATGCTGAAATTATGGGTTCACCAAGGGAATAATATGCCCCTGCAAATTAAAAAAAATCAGCCAACTGGAGCATTCAATTTTTGAAAATAATTCTGAGGAAACCTGACACAAATAAAAACCAAAGTATTAATGATTAGGAAGTCATCACTGCTGATAGATGAAATCAATTCCAGTATACTGCATATGATAACTGCTGGTGAAATAGACAAAATCAGATCATGGCATGAAATTGGTTGAGAGAGCACACAATTACAGTTTTGCCAAGAAGGGAAATAGAGTTCAATGGTAATCATAAACAGCTGGACAATGCAGTGCCAACCAATGTGTGCGTGTCAAGCAAAAACCCATCCTAATTGCCCAAAATTGGATGGTGCAGCCTGTAAACTTTGAACAGGTGCACCACCAAATTGAATGTTGCTTGACCTGTATTTCAAATTTTCAAGAAAATCATGAGCAAATCACCCATCATATGAGTGTTGATATGCATTGCTTACTTGTTTTTTTTTTTCTGGCAGCTGGCATGCATGTCCAACGCAGCATTGATAACAGAATAATGGACTTTATTGTAACAGGAAAACTGCATATGTTATCAGTTGAAAACAGGTACTGTGATGCCTCCTTGTAATGCCTGACATACTCCTGGATTATTTGCTGGGATTGCAAACTTAAAAAAATATACACAGTTGTGCCTGCGGCCTAGGAAACAGAAGCATGCAGTTTCTTGACTGTGTTTGCTTGGTGGGAAGTTTGTACAGCAAGCAATGTTTTCCCTCAAGGACCAATGTAAAATCCATCAATTGGTTCCTGTAAATGAAATCTATTGCTAAAATTATCAAAATAGCCTACATTTTGAGAGACCCAAAGAAAAGATACTTCCAAACACCTGATGTTTCTTATAAAGATCTCCCTATTTACATTTTTAGAAGCTCTCCATTCTGAATAACATATAGAAACTGTACTACAGTATTTGTACTTCATGCATATGCAACATATATGAGCAAAGCAAGAGTCAATCCTCCAGTTTTTCTTCGTGCTTCATACCAAGGCTGGTCCTCATGCAGAAACATATTTTTATGTGGAAAGAAAATAATGAAATGGGCTTCCATGATCAAATCATTATGAAAGGACTAATGATTTGAACTGATCAAAAAAAAAAAACGCAGGATAACCTTCTCCAAAAATGTAAACGTTTATATTAGACTAATATATTTCAAAAATTCCTTTAAAAAATCATATAATATACGAGATGGCTTCACGGAATTTTCGTTGCAAAATTCGCGTTTAGTAGCTATATCTACTTCTTGAAGAGTATATTGAATATTTTTAACAATTCTGTTACGTTCTCAACATTAAGATTGATCTTACATTAATTTCAATGCAAATTGTGAAGAAATTTGAAGAGGGAAACTAAAAATCCCTACATAAACAATGTTGGCTCCATTACATACATCTCTGTTCAATTATTCGTCACAGTTGAATAGAACCCACCCATGCATTTCATTCCTTCGCTTTCCAAAAAATTGACAATTGAAAAGAAAAATTTTGAAACAGAAATCAGTCAACGAGTGATGAACACTACAACTCGAAGAAAAAAATAATCCCAACCGTCCGTAGCGCGAGTAAAAATATTCTAATAATTTGCAATTTTCAAAAATTAAGTTAAGCTCACCTATATTTCCTATGACAAAAATCCAACATGAGAACACGAAAATTCATTAACTTCATAATTGCAAGTTCAACTTTCGCAGGAATCCAGCATAGGGGAATTTCTTCACGAGAAGGATGAAGACAACCCAAGAAACCTCAATCTTCATGCATGCAGAAGCCAGACCCATGTATTTTTCCTCAGCAGGTTCAACTCCAAGGAACGGCCACTCGGGCAAACACAGCAATAGACAGCATTCAAACAAGTTAAACATGAATCACGACTACTCTTTGATTCTCAACCAACATAACGACAGAGTCAACCAAACATTAGACAGGTCCAGGAAAACCAAACGAAAAAACTTACAGCTTCCTCTTCATGGCAGCCAGCTCTGTTTGCAACGACTCCAATTCGTCTTTCAAGTCCCGATGCTGCCGATGAGAAACTAGCTCAGCGCAGTGTCCCGTTGAACCCCCAATCCACATTGACATTATTTTCACCAGAAGGATGAAGACAACCCAAGAAACCTCAATCTTCATGCAAAAGCCAGCCCCATGTATTTATACTCATGAGTTCATGAGGTTCAAATTCAAGGAAGGCTCTGAGGCACTCACAGCAATCGACGTTCAAGACTTCAACCATGTTCAAAATAAACCGTCTGTTGTTCGATTCTGAATCATAAGCACAGAGTCAAATTATTAGACAGGTCTAGTAAAACAAAACGAAATTACTTATAGAGCTTCTTCTTCATTGCACTTTGCACCCAACTCTGTTTGCAACAGAGTACAATTCATCCTTCAAGTCCAGATGCTGCCAAAATTTTTTAAATTTGAATGCTCATCTGTTGCTAAAAAATAAAATTGTGCAGAATATTTTTTATTTTCTGGATTGCTAGCTTTTACTCAGCTCACCAGGCACAATACTTGCCGATTTGCATGCCCACTGCAGGACAAAACGTTACACCCTTCCGGAAAAATATGTGGCAGCGGTGGGATTCGAACCCACGCCCCCGGAGAGACTGGTGCCTAAAACCAGCGCCTTAGACCACTCGGCCACGCTACCCGCTTAGTCAGATGGTCGTTTTAGCGAGTACACCAAATAAATCTTTGGTTTCTAATGGGTTTGAGGGCCATTCTGTTATTCAGCATTGTTCATCAGCAGTTCAATAAAATTTGGCGCTTTCATGTCTCATGTACAATTATTGTCAAGAGAGCAAGATTGATTTAAAGATACAAAAAACCCTGCACTTGTGCTGCTTATACTATACAAACATACCCAGGGTTCTCTA